GTGCGCCTCCCCTCTCCCAGCCTCTCTCCGTACGTGTCGGAAAGCGAGGCCTGTCGGCACCTCTGTAGTGAGGCCATGGGCCAGTCAGGGTCCGCAGGAAGGGGTCATTTGTCTCGTAGAAGCTCCCGGAGGGTGTTCTCGGATAAGGGCACAAAGGGGCTAGCGGGGCCCCTTCCTATCCCAGAAGTTCCGGCTTTGCACCCCTAGGGGGCACCCCTAGGGGTGAGCCACTGAGCTTCAGAGGCTGTTCCCCTGCATAGTCCTCACTGTGCCTGACTCATCACCAGGTGCTCACCACCCCTCACTGTGGCTGACTCACCTTCAGCCTCCACTTCTCTGCTGAAAATCTCTTCCTCCGGGAAGCCTCGCCTGACTAGTACCTCTGCACTCACTCAAGTCAGTCCCTTAAAACATACTGTCACCAGAACCTGGGACCAGCAGTGACATGGTGGTTAAGGCACTGGACACTCCCACATGGCCAACCATGGTTCGAGTCCCACTTTGCCTTCTCACTTTCTTTCTCTCTCTGTATGTGTCTCCTGTTTAAATTAAAAAACAAGTAAACAAGCGAATGAATAAATAAAATTAAATAAATTCTTAAAAAAATACTGTCACCAGAATGATTGCAGGCGATCGCTGGTTTAGCACCTGTCTCTGGGGCAGGGACGGTGCCTGTCTTGTGCATGGCTATGTCCGTGGTCCTGTCACGCAGCCTGGCATGGGGCAGAGCGTCAGGACTTATGTCCATGTGGCGGCTTCTGGTGGAGGGGCTGTCCCAAATTCATACTCCTGCTGGGACTGGGGCAGACCTGCTAAGAGGGGTCCAGACTTCCTGGAGACCCCACTGGAGGCCACAGCATGGCTCCTCTCAGGGAGGGCCTCGGGGACACCGCGAGGGTGCTCACCACCCCAGCGTGACGCAGAGCGGCCTCAGGACGGCTGCCTGCTAGATTCAGAGGAAACTGGAGTGAAGGTCTGTGTGGTTTCCAGGTCTCTTCCTGCGGGCCTCTCGGTGCAGACGGGCTGGCTTACAGGAGGCAGCTGCGTCCCCAGCAGGAGCCCTGCAGGGCTCAGGGTGCCGTGGCATAGGCCTGAGGAGGCTGGAATCAGGGAGTGAGGCTATGGGGTCTTGGGCTGCGGAGAGGGAAGGGAGCCCCTGTCACCATAGGGAGCTTTCAGTCTGGGCCAGACTGAACCCCTGCCCAAGCCCGTGTAGCCAACGTCTTGGCCACAGTCGCAGTTCTGCTTAATTGCTGCCCACGGCCTTCCTCCTGGGAGTACTATTTGGTCGCGGGTGATCTTGTTCATCTGTGATGGTCAATTTTACGTGTCATTGTGGCTCAGCCACAGTACCCAGATACTTGATCAACTGCCAATCAAGATGTTGCTGTCAAGATATTTTTAGGTGAGACCGACATTCACATCAGAAGACTGAATAAAGCAGGCAACCTCCCATCAAGTGGGTAGGCCTCATCCCACCAGTTGAAGGCCATAAGAGAAAAAGGCTGAGATCCCTTGAGAGAGGGAACTCGGCCTCCAGACTGCACTTGGGGCTACAGCACCAGCTCCTCCCTGGGCCTTCAGCCTGCCCTGCAGGGTTCAACTCACCAGCCCTGCAATCACATAGGCCAGCTCCTCAAAATCACCCCCCCAACACGCATGCACGCACACACACATGCACACGTGGGTACACACACACATGCACACGTGGGTACACGCACACACATGCACACGTGGGTACACACATGCACATGCACACGTCCTATTGGTTCTGTTTTTCTGGAGAACCCGAAAACATTATCCAAATTCCAAATCAAGATACGATTTGAGGAAGGGGCTGGCAGGTGGTACGGTAGTTGAGGGCACTGGGCTCCCCCATGGCTGATCACCACGGTTCGAGTTCTGGACCTGGAGGCTCGCTTTCTCACTTTCTCTCTCTCTCTCTCTTTCATGGTCTATCCCTCTCTGGTGAAAGAAAGAAAAAAGAAAGAAGGAAGGAAGGAAGGAAGGAAGGAAGGAAGGAAGGAAGGAAGGAAGGAAAGGAGGAGGGAGGGAAGGAAGAAGAAAGAAAGTTAAATAGAATAATTCTAAAAAAAAAAAAAAAAGAAATAAAAGATGATTTGAGGGCTGGCTCCGTGGCCCAGTGGTAATGCACAGATCAAAAGAAGCCGGATCCCACATGGGGACGGTGGTTCGAATCCCTGGTCCAGTGGGCCTGAAACCCGCTAGGCGCACGTATGAGAACGGGCAGAAAGAGACTGCAGTGTGACCAGATCCTGTGGAGGGCGCTCTTCTCTCTCCCTCCCTCCACCCCTGTCTCCCTCCCTCTCCTCCTTTCCCTCTCGCTCTCCTGTCCTCACACACACTTCTATTATGAATAAAGAAGAAATAAAGACATGACTTGAGAAAGGATCTGAGGACTGTCTCGTGCAACAACTAGCAGACCCGAGGCCATAGTTCTGACATCAAAACACGAGAATTTCTAGGAAATTGTGACTGTCTAGTAGTCCCAAAGCTGGATTTTTCTAGTCAGGACCGTCAGAAAATTGGCCTAGGCCTGGCACATGTATCAGGTGTGCTATTTCCCCATCAAGACAGCCTGTTTGCTTCACATATTTCATGGTGTCCCTCAGATTCGACAGAGGAAAATGATCTGTAATTCTGTACTGTCCAAAAAGTAACCTAGCTGCACGTGGCTACTGGCTCTTAAAATGTGGCTAGCGTGAGTGAGGGAGAGAATTATATTTTTTTTGGAGAGGTTTTTGCTATAGGGCGCGTGTGCTCGCCAGACAGGCAGAGACAGACAGAGAGATAGAAAGCGAGAAATCACCCCCCAGGGGGGATGGCCACGCTGCAATCCCTTCTCCCCCATTCTCCTCTCGGGATCTTGGGCACGCACGCACACGCGCCCAGCATGAGTTTAAGGCACTGGGTCCGGGACGCGAACCGCAGTCGACTACATGGGAGTCCAGCGACACAGCCATTATGCTAACTGCTGGTCCCGAGGGATAGAATTTTCAACATGTAACTTATTTATTTAGTTTTTTTGCCACAGGGCACGTGTGCTTGCCAGAGAGAGAAAGGGAAAGTGAGAAACCATTCCCCATGGGGGATGGCCACGCTGCAACCCCTTCTCCCCCATTCTATTTTGGGCACATAGGCACACTTGCCTAGCGTGATTTTCAAGCTTCCAGGTCTGGAACTTGAACAAGTCAGCCACGTGGGAGTCCAGCGCCTTAACCACGCCATCACCTGCTGGCTCCGAAACATGTCATTAACTGTGGGTAGCTGCGAGCGGCTGGGGGGCGGCCGGACAGTTGCAGCTTTGCAGAGCTGCGGATGGCTCGGGCTGCTTGCAAAGGAGTGGAGCCTTGGGAGACGCCCTCCTAGTCTGGTGAGCTGGTTGGTGCCCAACCCTCTCCCATCTTCTCTCACTTATCTGGTATTTTGTTTTGTCTTTAGGTTTTGGGCACAGGGCATGTATACTTGAGAGAAATGGAGAGAGGGACAGTGAGAAATCACTCCTTAGGAAGGATGGCCACACAGTCCTGTCTCCATTTTCCTCGTGAGATTTTGGGCATGCATGCACACACACACGCACACACACACACACACACACACACATACACGGTATGATTTTTTTTTCTTGTATTATTATTTTAAGTCTATGAGAGGGAGAAAGAGAGAGAATGTGAGAAAGCAAACTGCCAAGTCTGGGACTTGAACCACCATTGGCCATGTGGGAGTCTAGCACCTCAACCACCATGCCATCTGCTGGACCACCACCCATCCCACTCCCCCCCAAGTACGATTTTCAAGTGACCAGGTCTGGGACTTGGACCTTCGTCAGCCATGTGGGAGTTCAGTGCCTTAACCACCACGCCACCTGCTGGCCCCTTTATCTGGCGGCTTAACGTATTCTTACTGCTAATGTAAGTGCACAAGAGCTGGGGGGCAAGGGGGGTGCCTGCAGGGCTCACTGGGAAGGCCATGACAGGGAGGCAGTAGGCATTCAGTGGCTTAATGCTGTAGTGGGGCTGCTGGTCAGGGCCCCCCGCCCTCCCAGCCTACCTGCTTCTGTGGGCCCAGGCCCCTGGCTCAGGGCACAGGGCCTTGAGCTCGGGCTTGTCAGCATTCTCCCTCTGCTGGACAGGCCTCCCATGGTTCCTCAGCAGAACACTCAGAAGCACATCGCCCAGGAAGATCTGAAAGAGACGCTGTGATGGAGACAGTCTGGGCTCTCGGCCTGGATCGCGGACCCCTCCCTGGCACAGCCTGCCTGCTGACCCGTCTGCTCGCTGAGTGCTGCGAAGGGCCTTGGTCCTGTCAGCACCGATGCCAAGGGCTGCCTGCAAACGACGCTGTCGACTATGGATGCTGTCCTCTAAGTACCGTCTCTCTGCTGGAGCCAGGTGGATACTCAGTTTCTGGGGCTTTGCTGGGCTGCACCGCCCTGCCCTTCCCTCCCCTCCAGGCCAGTCCGGATCTCACAGTTCCCAGGAAGCATTCCCAGAATCCCCCCGGCCTTTGCTGTTCACACTCTGAGTTCCTGAGACCTGAGAACCATGTCTCTGACCTGGGGTCACGCTCTGCCCGAGTGGCCGAGATATGACAGGACAGGAGCTCACCCCAGGAATACCAGGCATACCAGGGTCCAGGGCTAGGGTCTAAGGTTGGAACCCAAGGGGATGGAAGCTGGGGTCACAACAAAGGTGATGCAAACACACAGTAACTGGCGTCACAGGGCGAAGTAAGATCACACCCTGATGACTTGCAAGGCTTTGGGGCACAGGCTACAGGCTGTCTGGCCACTTCCCCCCTCCGGGCCTCCATTTCCTCATCTGAGAAATGGGGATAACACCGCTCAACATGTGGGTCTGCGAGATAATGCTCGTGGAAGGCCTGGCCAGGGCCCTGGTCTCCTTTATCTTGTCCTGAATGTCGCTTCATTAGAGGCTTCTCCTGGGACCTTCCCCTTTTCTCTTGATTCCCCGTGTGTTTCTTTGCAAGTTTTGTTTGTTGGTTTTAATTGTATTTATTGATTTTTAAAATTTTGTGAGAGAGAGAGAAAGGGACAGTGAGAAACAAGCTGCCAGGTCTTGGAGTGGGACCATAGTCCGCTACATGGAGGTCCAGTGCCTTGACCACTATGCCACCTGCTGGCCTGAAAGTTCTGTTTTTCACTTTGCCAGAGAACATGCACACTGGCTGTACAGAGACAGAGAGAAAGACGGACAGCGAAAAAGCACCCGCACAGGGCATGGTCATGTCAGACCCTTCGGGCATGGTCATGTCAGACCCTTCTCTCTCTTTCACTTCCGGGATTTGGGGCATGCATGCACACGTGCTTCATGTGTTTCTCAAGCTACCGGGCCAGGGACTTGAACTATGCAGTCAGCCATGTGAGATTCAGTCGCCTTAACCACCATGTCATGGACTGGCCCATTGTACTTTTTTTTTTTTTTTTTTGCCACAGGACATGTGTGTTCACTGGAGAGAGACCGAGGGAAAGTAATAAATCACCCCAGGGGTGTGGCCACACTGCAACCCCTTCTCCTCCATGTCCTCCTGGGGTTTTGGGCATGTATGCATGCGTGCCAGCATGAGCTTCAAGCCACCGGGTCTAGGACTTGAACGGCAGTCGGCCATGTGGGAGTCAAGCACCTTAACTGGACTGGCAGGTGGCGTGGTGGTTAAGGGCGCTGGACTCCCACATGGCTGGCCCCCGTTCAAGGCCTGGACCCGACGGCTTGCTTTCTCACTTTCTCTCTCTCTCTTTCACTCTGTCCATCTCTGATCAAATAAAATAAAATGAAATAAATAAATTAAAAAGTAATTAAAAACAAAAGTACCTTAACCACTATACCTCCTGCTGGCCCAGCATATTTTTACAGTCATTTATTAGAGTGATTACTTGTCTGATTATCTTGTTCAATTATCCGATAGTCCGTGAAGACGAGGCCCTCTTGCCCGCCCACGTCCTGGCATCTAGTGACACACCACAGAAGCCACTCAACACACATTAAGGACGTGAATGCCAATGACGTCGACAGGCGTCTTATCCTTTTTTTAAAATAAGAACTGTTTTATTTAACTTTATTTATTTATCTATTTTAATTTGACTAGAGAGACAGAGAGAGACAGAGAGAGATGGAAAGTGAGAAAGTGAGCTGCCAGGTCTGGGACTCAAACCATGGTCAGTCAGTCTGGGATCCAAACCATGGTCAGTCATGTGGGAGTCTAGCACCCCTAACCACCATGCCACCTGCCAGCCCCCACAGGCGTCTTATCTTTAGAACATTTTAAATCCTCGGGGCCCCAAGGTGATGCTGATTTTCCCAAATGTTATATGAAAGTGTTTGAGGGGAGGACCAGCAGTTAGCATAATGGCTGTCGCTGGACTCCCACGTAGTTGACTGCAATTCGAGTCCCGGACCCGGTGGCTTAAACTCACGCCGGGCGCGTGTGCGTGCGTGCCCAAGGTCCCAAGAGGAGAATGGAGGAGAAGGGACTGTGGCGTGGCCATCCCCCCGGGGGGTGATTTCTCGCTTTCTGTCTGTCTCTCTTTCTGGTGAGCGCACGCACCCTATAGCAAAAACCTCTCAAAAAAAGAAAGAGTTTGGGGGAAGTGGGGGCTTTTATATTTCTTTTCAGGTGGTTCCATTATTTGCAGCAGAGACAGGACGCAATTATACCAACTGGGTCTCCTTTGGTTGATATTCCAGTTCCTGCTCGGTGCCGAGAACCTGCCAAGGGCTTTGAGTCACGCTCCTTGCCTTGGAGCAACTCAGAGACTGTGGTGACAGAATGGGCCCCCCGGGCCGTTAACCCCATCGTGCCTGGATGAGGACAGGTGTCCATTTATGTCAGGGAGTGACTTCCATGGCCTCCTGGGCCAGTCGGGGCCAGCCAGTGGTGTGGGGGTTAAGGCGGCTAGATCCCACATAGTTGACTGTGCACAGTTCAAGCCCTGGACCCAGAGGCCTGGACAACACGCCAAGTGTGTGTGTGTGTGCGCGTGTGTGTGTACATGTGTAAAGTCCTGAGAGGGAACTGGAGGAGAAGGGATTGCAGTGTGGCCATCCCCTCGGGCCATCTCCCCTCACTTTGTCTTTCTCTCTGGTGAGCGTACAAGCCCTAAAGCAAACTTAAAAAAAGAAAAAAAAGGGACCAGCAGACAGCATAATGGTTACATGGTTACGTTGTTGCTGGACTCCCACCTAGTCAATTGTAGTTCAAGTCTCGGACCTGGTGGCTAAAAACTCATGTGAGGGGAGCCTGCAGGTAATGTGGTGGTTAAAGGCTCCCACATGACCAATTGCAGTTCAAATCCCGGACCTGGTGGCTCGCTTTCTCACTTTCTCTCACTCTCTGATAAAATCGGAAAGTGATAATAATTATAAATAAAGTTTAAAAAAACAAACTCACGCTCTGTGTGTGTGTGTGTGTGTGTGTGTGTGTGTGTGTGTGTGTGTGCCCAAAATCCTGAAGAGAATGGAGAAGGGACTGAGGCATGGCCATCCCCGTGGGGGATGATTTATCCCTTTCTGCTCTTTGGTGAACGCATGTGCCCTGTAGCAAAAATCTCTCTTAAAAAAATAATCCTACCTTTCTCTGTGCAAGGTGACTACGCTCTCTGTTGTTCAGTCTCAGGCGTCATTAATACCTGCCTCTCCATGGGGAGCCTGGTATTCCTGGGGACAAGAGCTCTTTAACTCAAACTGGGCCCAACTTTCAGAAAGGCTCCAGGTAGCCCTTTCCTGCTCGGACTCTTGGGATCCTACTGCCTCCCCCCCACCCCCCCGGGGGGGGTTCTGCTTTTTCACTGCAGAGCACCTCTTCAGTTCAGGTTGCCATGTTCCTGCTGCCTCCCAGCCTTTCCTGGCCACAGGCCGAACGCTTCGTCTGCAGACTGAGCCCAGCTCTCCGGGAGGCAGGGTCTACCATGGGTAGCATGCGTGATTGATCTGGACAAGCCAGGCTCGAGCTGTGTGACCTCAGGCAGAGCACGATGCTTTCTGAGTCTCCTCTGTGAACCAGGGGAGGTGCCGATTCCACTGGGTTGTGGGGAGAACTCGGAGCTCGGCACAGAGGGCGTTCAGGGAGGCTGAGAGGCTGAGCAAGACCACAATCACCAACTGCAATAACCCAGAGACCTTCCTGCTGCAGCTGGGCTGGGGGATGGGCCCGAGGGCGATCGAGGAGCTGCCGGAAGCCACCCCAGAACTGTCTGCCAGCCCCTTTCACCTGGTCTGGTCAGGCTAGGAGGTCCTTGGGAGCAAAACGAAGACCTCGCGACAGGCAGACTTGGGAGGAAAACGCACTGGCCAGAACTTTTATGAGAATGTCTAATCGCTCCACAAACATCCGAGCAGCTTACAGTGTGCTGGGGACCCGCCAGTGGGTGGGGGAGTTAGCAGGGAGAAGGCTGCTGAGGTCAGCACAGCACCCAGGGCTGCTCTGTCTCACTCGAGGCCCAGTTCAGATACATGCCAAGGGCTGAGAACGACCTAGGTGACCTATGTGGCCGGTTGGTGCAGGGCTGGGCTGGTGCTTTTGTGCCTCTGGTTAGGAGTGATGAATGTGGGCTGAGTTAAAGGGATACCGCGCCCTTTTACAACGGAGAAGTGTCGTCCTTTTAAGAGGCACTGCTGGCTCTGCAGCTGAATGTGTCTTTAGGGATAACACCTCCTCACTCACTAACTTCAGAAGACCCCTCAGAGAGGGGTCCAAGATCGAACAGCGAGTTCGGGAGCTGAGAAGGGACTAGAACGGGCATGAAGAGAAGCTGGAGGGAAGAATGCAAGTCCCCATGCGTGTCAAAGGTGGAGAGGGGAGGCCTGGTTCCTTCTGGGGATCCCTCCAAAAACTACTGCTTATAAGAATCTCAGTAAATCCACTCCCCCTTCTCCTTGAGCTCTTCCCAGCAGGTAAATACAGTAACACTCTACTCCCAGCAAGATCTGAGACCACTCTTCCTCACCTGTCCCCAGGCCATCAGAAAGCAAAGGCAAGCGTACTCACTGGTTTCTTGTCAGCAGCAGTTTGGGGAGGAGGCTCAGCTAAGGTGCAGCATGCTTTGCCTGGATAGAGAGCCCTTCTGGAAGTCTTCAACAGCCTTGGTCCTAAGACACCCAGAAGTTTCTTGACCTGGGAGGGTCGTCAAGGAGAAGCTCTAGGTGTCCTTTCTGGCAGCTCGGCATCAGCCTGTGGTCAGCAGTTTGAAGGCCCAGAATGAGACAGGAGCCCGCTGCTCCTTAGGGAACGCCTGGGCAGCCCTCCCAAGCATAGCCAGCCGGGAAGAAGGCTCAGGGCTCCGTGTGCTCTGTCAGACACAAGGCAGTCCTCGGAGCTCGGCTGCTGTCGGCAGTCGCTGTGGTTCTCACAACCACCCATTTCCTCTGACGGCATCGCAGACCATCGAGGAGCCACCGTCCCCAAGTTCCTGTTTCTGGGGAGTAGCTGCTGCCTCGTCGTGACCCTGGAGCAGGAGACTTCCCGACTTTGCGGCTTGGTCTTGTCCAGGGACCACAGAACCAGGTGAATGAGCGGATCTCTCGAGCTGCCAGACCCAGCGATGATCACGACGGCTTAGTTTAGCCACTTTGGGACCCCCCCACACTTTCTGAATGTAAGTGGCCAGAGGCAGGGCCTAAGGATTTTTTTTTTTTAAGATACATTTTTTGCTGTAGGATATGTGTGCTCGCCAGACAGACAGAAAGAAACCACCCCACAGGAAGGATGGCCATGCCGCAGTCCCTTCTCCTCCACTCTCCTCTCAGCATTTTGGGCACGCACGCACATGCGCTCAGTTTGAGTTTTTTAAGCTGCCGGACCTGGGACTTGAACTGCGGTCGACTATGTGGGAGTCCAGTGATGTAACCATTATGCCACCTGCTGGTTCCAGGGATCTAAATTTTAAACACTCCCGGAGAGCCCTTTGGCTGGCCAGTTTGGGAAGCACTGCCTTCACCTCTGATGTCAACAGGAGTCACCTGGGGCTCCGGCTGCAGTGCAGCTCATCTAATTTTGTAGGCCTGGGGTGGGGCTCAAGTGCAGGTCTCCAGGGCTCACAGGTTGACATCGATATTGCTGGTCTGGGGGGCGCAAATGAATAACAAGGTCTGGAAAGTGGCTCTCCAAGTGTGGTCCCCAGTCCAGCAGCCTCAGTGTCACCTGGGAATTTGTCAGACATGCAAGTTCTCAAGCCCCATCTCCGATTTATGGACTCAGGATCTCTGGGGGTAGGGCCAGCAGGCCTTTCCATAAGCCTCCAGGTGGTCCTAATGCTTGCCCGGCCGTGAGGGCCTGCTCTGCCAGCACTGCCCGCTGACCTTCCATCTGCAGTTCAGTAAACCACCTTGCCCACCTGCTGCCTCCCCATCAGTTCCTCTTGAAGATGGATGTTCTGTAACATAAAGTGGCTCGTTGCACCAAGATGGCTCCCGATTCCAGCATGGTGTATACAGCCTCCGTGCAGCCTCAGCTGTCCCTGCTGCCTCATGGCTAAGCTTGCTCCTACTCACTCGGCTTCCCAAGGTGCTCTTGGCCCCTCATTCCCTTCCTCCTTGGGAAGGTTTTTGTTTTTGTTTTTACCCTCTCAATATTTCTTTTTTATTATTAATTTGCTACAGGGCATATGTACTTACCACAGAGAGAGAAAAAAGAAAAGTGAAGGAAAGTGCAAGCTGCCGGCTCCGGAACTCAAATCATGGTTGGCCATGTGGGAGCTGAGCAAATTGACCACCAGCCCACTTACAGGCCCAGGAGGCTGGTTTGATACGTAAGCCTGCAGGCACTTGGCGAGGAGAGCTGAAGGAGCGGGAGGGTAGGCACATCCTTTAGTCTGGGCGCTACAGTGGGGGACAGTCACTCAGGGAAGTGGCCTGTGGCAGGCAGGAACTGAGCACGAGCCTCCATACGACGCCAATGCCCATTCTCGTTTATGACGGAACTGTCAAGGCTGGGCTCAAGGTGAGGTTCGCGAATGAGGTAAGAAGTAGAAAACGACCAGCTTCAGTCTCTGACTAAAAGAATCCTGGGCCAGCAGGTGGTTTGGTGGTTTGGTGGTTAAGGTGCCGGATCCCACATGGTTGGCTATGTGGTTCTAGTCCTGGACCAGGAGGCTAGGTGCATGGATGTGTGCCCAAAATCCCAAGGAAAGAATGGAGGACTGCGGCATGGCCATCCCCCTTGCGGGCTGTTTTCTTGTTTCCCTCTATCTCTGGTGAGCACACGTGCCCTAATTAAAAAAGAAAGAAAGAAAAGGAATCCCACCGCATAACTCTTTTTCCACCTAGGAAGGCACCTAAGAATTAGAAAGGTCTGCACCACCAGGTGGCGTGGTGGTTGGGGTGCTGGAGTCCCACATGACCCACAGCAGTTCAAGTCCTGGACCTGGCAGTTTGCTTTCCCTTCCTTCTTCTCTCTCTGTCTCTCTGGTGATTACATGTGCCCTGTAGCAGATTAATAATAATAATAATGCTAAATAAAATTAAGTGAAAATAAGAAAGGTTCAAATCCTAGCCCTACAACTGTGGTATGGCCGGGCTACGGTAGTGCGGGCTGGCTGACACTGCTCCGTGGCAGACTGAGGCCAGGCGGGAGGTCCCGGCTCATTCCCAGCCCACTCTAGAAGTCCAGCATGGTGGTGCCGGCCTGGAGTCCCAGCTAGCCTGGAGGCTGAGGCATGAGGGTCACAGCACAGTGAGACCATCTGAGAAAAAAGTATTTGGCCCCCCTCTCTGGCTCCCAGCCAAAGGTCCTGAAACTCGTGAAATTTCCTGATAGGGATGCGAGGAGCATCTTTAGTTCTACTACCTGGTATTTTACCGGTTTGTCAGAATTCCTAAATGCCTTGGAATTTCCCACGTGACGGGAGCCTCTTACTCCACAGGGCTCCTGGGCGGGACTCTTCCAGTCCTCACACTCTGCAGCTCTTCATGAGCTGTTAATCTGGATCCATTATTGCACCCGTTGTTTCCCGAGTTCTGTAAGCCATCAGACCAAGTTACAGAACTTGAGGAAGGTTCATGGGAACCTCTGATTTTTAGCCAAGATGGAGAGGAGTGTGAGTAGCCTGGAGATCAGCCACTTGCAACCGGCATCTGAAGGGGGCAGTCTTGAGGGACTGAGCTCTTAACCTGTGGGTCTGCACTAACTCCAGGCAGGTAGTGTCCTCACTGACCTGCAGGACACCTGGTTGGTACCAGCGTGTGGGAGAATTAGCTAGTATGGGGGAAACCCAAAGGTGTGGTCGTGGGAGTGCTGAGTACAGCTGAGGAAGCTCGTCCCTCTACAACCACTTCTTATTTGGGTGATTGCCTGTGGACTCTGGGCCTGTTTTCCCATCCATGAACTGAGAATAGCTTGTATTTCACTGAAAATCTAGCAGGAAATTTACAGGAAGGTACTAAGGGTCTAACCTAGAGTTGGTGCTCAATAAAAAGCTGAAAAAAAATAGAATGCACTGCCTTAGGAAGAACTAGAAACTACTTTTTTTTTTTTTTTTTGAGAGATTTTCACTGTAGGGCATGTGCGCTCGCCAGACAGACAGAGAGAGACATAGAGACAGAAAGCGAGAAATCACCCCCCAGGGGTGATGGTCACGCCGCAATCCCTTCTCCTCCATTCTCCTCTCGGGATCTTGGGCATGCACGCACACGCGCCCGGCGTGAGTTTTAAGCCACCGGGTCCGGGACACGAACCGCGGTCGACTACGTGGGAGTCCAGCGACATAGCCATTACGCTAACTGCTGGTTCCCTAGAAACTACTTTTTCAAGCTATTGATTGATGGCCTTGGCCAAACATTTAACTTCCCAGAGCTGCTCCCTGGCTGTCCTTGATGCTGTCCTGTCAGGTTGCCATGGGAACTCGGTAAGACAAGGAGTATGGAAAAAATGTAGACACGCACCTGGTGCAGTCTACCTGGCTACCGTCTTGCCTGTCACAAAGCAGGCACTCTTACTTCTTCCTGGTACTAAGAGGGAAGATATAAACGAGCAGTGGAATGAGTAAGAACCAGTCGAGTGTAGTCAGTTGGGCCTGACCCTAGGCACTAGGCTACGGTGGGAAAGCAACCATCTGGGCTGAGCATGGCCAGGAGGCTGGAGCAATGGAAGTTGTTATTTTTTGGCAGAGGGTTTTGCTATAGGGCGTGTGTGCTCACCAGAAAGACAAAGAGAGAGAGAAAGCGAGAAATCAACCCCCACCCCCGGGATGGCCACTCCACAATACCTTCTCCTCTTGGGATCCTGGGCACACATGCACACGTACCCGGCGTGAATTTAAGCCACCAGGTCCGGGACTTGAACTGCGGTTGACTACATGGGAGTCCAGCGACACAGCTATTATGCTAACTGCTGGTCCCTTAAAATTATTTAACTTTATTTATTTGTTTTAATTTGACCAGAGAGGGACAGAGTGAGAGAGAGAGAGAAAATGAGAAAACAAGCTGCCAGGTCTGGTACTCAAACTGTGGTCAGCCACGTGGGAGTCCAGCATCCCTAACCACCGCGCCACCTGCTGGCCGCATCCCAGGCCTCTTAAAGGAACCTGAACAAGTGGTTGCAGATAATTATGTGACAGGAGGCACCTGAGCAATCCCACTGGGATGCAGATCTGGGTGTGAGGAGCCCACTCTCCCGACTCAGCTTCTCCTCCGTGACACAGCACTGCTGGCTCCTCACTTCTGGTTTGAGAATACAGGCCTGTCAGATGGACCTGGGATCCAGTCCGGGCTGGGCTAACTGACTATATGACCGTGGGCGAATCACTTATCCTGGGCTTCCATGCTCTCCCTCGTGACGGACAGTGTCGGGGGCGGGCAGGTGATCATGTATGTGAAAATGCACAGCACGGAGCCGGCGTGCTGTAACTCAGCCCCTCACGGAGGCCCTGTGAGTGGCTTGAGAGAAATAACACCAGCCATCAGCTAACAATGAGACATATACAGCTTTATTTAATAATCTGTAAAAAGTCGTACTCAGGCAGAGTGACGCGTTTCTTATCTCGGCAGAAAGCAAACAGTTCTGAAAAGCCCCTTCTCAAGATCCGGAACCGTGTGCCCTGAGCGTACCTACATCTCGATGATCTTAAGAGCTGGGCTCTTGCCGTGTGGCAGTTGGTCTCCATGTCTGTCACCCTCCTCCCAGCGATCCTCTCTGGCTGGCTGTGACCCCCTCCCACAACAGCAGACGGAGGCTAAAAGCAGTCTGACCTGGCTAGGGCTGCCCTTATAGATCCCCTCCGCGCCTACAAAAGGGAATTCACAGGACTAAAAATCTGAGACATGGGTCCTACGTCCACTTAATTTAGCTTCCAGGAAGTCTGCTGACACCAAGGCTATACTTATTAGACATGATACTGGAGTAAGGGCTGTTCCTCCCACCCCACTCACTTCCTCACCATCTTCACAATTTTTAAGTCATACCTCTTCCCCGCCTTTTATTTTGTTAATTGAGGAATGGAGAAACGCTCTCTATCTCAGACCTGGGAGGGGCTCCCTGTGGTTATGTGGATATCTGTCAAGTGGTATCACCCACGGGAGCAGCTGTGTCCCTGCGGAGTGGAGGCCTGGTGTTCTCTTTTCCACGTACCCGTGCTAACAGGGCCCAGTAACTACTGAGCCATCCTCGCTCCTTGGACAAAAACACACGTGAATCAGAACTTCATCGTTCATGGGCTTCCAGCAGAATATCTCCCTCCCTTTTATTTATAGAATATGTGAATTCACATGGACACACGGGGTGGCTGGGCCCCTGCCTGCCTCTCTCTGAAAGAGTGCCCTTCTACTGTTGGTCACAATCGACAGCCTGAATAGTAACTGCGATCTTCCGCCTTCCTCAGAGCTGCTCTCTCCTCAAATCACTTTGCAGATCTTGCTGACCAGTTTCAAACCAAAAGAGAATACAGTGGCCTACCCAACCTAGAAATCTGTTCTGTACACTTCCCTTAAAAACACCATTGAGAATGCAAAAAGAGTCCCTTTTTTGCAGAAGCGCTACAAGAAAGCATTTCTAAAACCACAGAGCTACGCACACACAAACAGACACGCGTGCTCACACACACACACAGAGTTGGGATCAAAGAATCTTATCAGATACATAGTTGGGAGAGCACAGGAAAAAGCTGGCAAGAGGCGATATGGAGATCTGATCAGCTAAAGATGCTGGAATGTTACAGTAATGGCATGGAAGTGGTTCTTGGTACATACAAAAAAGGGGGTGGGTGGGCAGAGAGGATGGTAAATCCAGGCTACGAGAGAGGTTCAGTGGCCATGCATGAGTTAAAGATAGCCGAGGTCAGTTTACTGGATGAAATGTTATCGTGTGGAGTGGTCATCTGAAGGAGGACAGACTTGCATGGTCCAGGCTAGGAGCAACTGCTTAGCAGGACACCTCCATGGTCTGGTGTCTTTCCAGGACGTCAGGGGACTCACAGGACTCTTGAGTTCCATCTGACTGAGTGCTGGTGACAGACCGGCTGAAGGGACTCTCTCCAGAGCCGATGCTACTCGAGGTGGAGTGAGTTCGAGATCGGGCGAGGCGGGTCATGCTGGCAGCTGGTACTGTAACAAAGAACCAAGAGCACTGGGAGATGGAGCCCTGGCTCGGCTCAGCTCAGCTCATCTAAAAAGCTTCACCCAAACCTTCCCAACCCATTTAGGATGACGCCTGGACAAGGGCTAGCCACTCCCGGTTTGCATTACTTGCTCCAGGTCAGTGGCTATAGAGGCAAGGCTGCTTTCATCCTTTGGGTCTGCCTGGAATATCCTCTGACTCTAGTCCACAGCAGAACAAGGTCTAGCCTCTAGCTGTGCCCACGCCATTCTTACAGTGACCGGGAAGGAGGCTCTGGGAACCCACACAGATAACCCAACCTGCAGTGCATGCAAGACTAAACCCAGAGAAAGGACACACAAACCACACGAGTATGAAGGTGATTCACAAACACAGTGCAAGCCCGATACAACGAGACTACCATCCGTGTCCACGGCTACCCTTGTTACCTGGGGAGGAGACATGGAAGAAGGCGTGGGTGCAGGGACGGCAGGCAGGCAGGGTTTACATCGTGGCCTGCACCTTGCCTCTGGTCCTGGAGCTGACCTTTACACAGGGACAAGGTACGCGATGCCAGGGAGGGAAGAGCTCTAGGAGTGGGTGTTCAACTCAGACTCCTGTTCTGCCACTGCTTTGACCCTCAGGTCCTTCAAGCTTGGCCAGGAAAGAGCCTTCCCTGGTATAACCTCCCTGCCTAGCCTCCCGAGACACCAGCCACTCCCTCAGGGGTCATTTCAGTGCTGGGGTCAAAAGATGCCACCACCTGCAGTGCTCTGGGCACAGGCTCTGCCACGCCTACTTAGATCACGGCTGCCCTTCGGTGCCTGTGTCTGAGGGCTCCATCAGTGAGTGGTGGATTTATGACGACGAGAGGTGCTCTGGCCATCACAACCCAGTCCTTGCTTCCTCCTGGGGGCCAGGGTTCGATTTAGAAGCTACACCTTCAGGGGCACAACGAGCCACGTTCTATCGGGCTCTCACTGCACGGGAAAACCGCGGACATGCTGCAGGCAGCCAGTGCAGCCAGGAGAGCATGGCTGGGAGGCAGGGGTGGGCTAGCACAGGGGAAGGTACCTGACTCGGTGCTCAGGTGACTGAGCTGCACATACGGGACTGGAAGCAGGACGGACACAGGAAAAGGCAGGTTAGTGACCCAAGAGTGCCAAGTGGCAACCTCGGCTGCCCTCAGACACTGACAGAAAACTCTAAGGTAGGGATGAAGTTTTATCTTACGGTCCCAGACAGGAGGTGAGGCTGGCTGGTGTTTCAACACTGTCTCTCAGTTAGACAAAGGCAACTGCTTTCCCCTCCTCTGTAAACAGTCATCCTGCGACCTCTGTTCCTCCCAGTGAGCCAGAGGGCCACGGGTGTGGGTGCGGGTGGCAGCAGTTCACAGACAGGGACAAAACAGCCACTCTGGACAAGACATACACAGTCTGCCTGGCAGGTACAGGGCTGCCCCAGAGTAGCTGACCAGGCAGCTCGCCAAAGGCCGTTATCCAAACTGACACCAAAGACAGAAAAAAATGGACCTCCTAGGTGAAGAGCTCTGTACCCCATGAAAGGGTTTTGTTTTCTTAAACTCCAAGAAGGGAGTGAGCATGGATATTCTGAGACAAAGGAGAAAGCTCAGGAGTCCCACAATGAAGAGACCAGGATGGTGGCATATGGCTTGGACACATCCTGACTTGTTCTAAAACACTTGCAAGTTCATTTCCTGCCGGGGAACAGATGTAATTGACAACACTATCCTTTTCTTCTGGAGTTTCCACTTTGTTTCTCTAGGCCAGGAGTTCTCAACCAGCTGAGTTCAAATGCAAATTGTAACTTCTGATTCACCACTAGGAGACAGCCTTCGCCTCAGTGGTTAAAAACAAGGACTCTGGAGTCAGATTGCTGGGGTTTGAATCAGGGCCCGCCCCTTGCCTCTTTGAGCCTCAGTTTCCTCTTCTATAAAATGGGACTAAACACAGAGCTCACCTCTTAGGATAAGACTATACTGGTACCCCTCAAACTAACGACGAGGTTATACCCCCAATAAAGCCATCATTGGTTAAAAACAAAAAAAGGTAAGTAAAAAATGCATTGCAAGGGGCTGGCAAGTGGCATGGTGTAAGGGCACTGGACTCCCACATGGCTGACTGTGGTTTGAGTCCTGGTCCTGGCAGCTTGGTTTCTCACTTTCCCTCTCTCTCTCATTTTGGTCAAATTAAAATAAATAAAGTTAAATAACATAATTCCTTTAAAAAATGCATTGCAAGTTGAAACCATGGTTATGTTGTAAGAACTATAATTTACAATGGAGTTATGGTTTCTACTGAATGCAAATCACATTAAAAAAAAAAAACAATTTTGCAATAGGGCAAGTACGCTCACTGGAGAGAGACGAAGAAAGTAGAGAGAGAGGGAAAGTCAGAAATCAACCCCCCCGGTGGCGGGTGGTCATGCCACACGATCTCTTCTCCCTTCTCCTCTTTGAGATTTTGGGCATACACGTACACTTGGCCATCATGTTTTTCAAGCTGCAGGGTCCAGGACTTGAACTACACAATTGGTCATATGGGATCCAGCTCCTTAACCTCTGTGCCACCTGCTGGCCTGTAAATCAGTTTTGCACCAGAGAAAGCTGAAAGACTATAAGTCAAAACCATCATGGGGGTGGGGGGGCAGCTGTCCAGGCCCGACCCAGGGGAGTGCTCAGTTGCTCAGTAAACATTAGCTCACCTTATATACACTTGCACAAACGAATGCCTGACCCACAAACAAGAAGGCTGCTCCTCTACTGACAGCTGGCTCGCACGAAGATTATACCCTGAGAATGTGAGCCCCAGAAACCAAGCTGATCCCAGCCTCCCGAACTCTTTGCTAGACAGAAGGTAGTGTACTACTCACTGTAGCCCATTCCCTGCAAAAAGTACTTGATGGCCTCCGTGAGCTTCCCAGGCTGAGGAGGGAAAACAAGAAGGCATTAATCTTTGCGAAGGCAGAGGGGCAGAAACAAATAGGTGCTTCAGAAAGCAATCTCTTTACCTGAACGACTTGGGGCAGCCCGCCGCAGTCCGCCATCTAGAAGAGGAACACCCACGTTAGCAGGGCCTTGGATCGCACGGAGATGCTCTGAACATCTCAGTGCTTCTGAACAGCACAGGACTGACTTTCAGGCTCTTTAATATTTAAACACATCAGCTTTAATCTCTTCAATCTTAGCAATAACCTTGGCTATAAATCTGAAAGAATTATTCAATACTTAATAAGATGCAAGGCCTGGATTTCAGGTCCAGGGTAGAAATTTTCCGACAGGGTGACAGTAAATTGACCCACAATTTTCAACCATGGTTCTGCCTCCCCCTAAAAACTATTACTTTCAGAGGCTTCGTACAGTGTGACCCACCAAACTTTAGAGGGTGTCACACTATGCCCCTTTCTACTCTGTATCACCCTTCTCTCCAGGACTAAGGGGCGCTTTCTAGTCAGGAACTCATGCTGAACTTAGCCAGCTCGCGTTGTCCCCGTTTCCTGTCACAGCTGGATTTGGGAAGGCTGCTTCTCAAATTCATAAACCTCGACAGCTGGTCATTCTTACCTGTGGGAGAATTTCTAGAGCACAGCTTCATTACTATACATCGGGATTACCCCGGAGTACTTGTTAAAACTCAGGGTCTAGGGCTCCTACCCCAGAGATTCTGATTCGATAGGGCTGGGGTGGAGTTCAAAAACTTGCCTCCCGCGACCTCTTACCTATATTTTTTAAATTATTGCCTGATGGTATTTGCATTGGCCACACAGAGACAGAGAGAGAGAGAAAGAGGAAGCACCTCCTCATGGGGTGTGGTCGTGCCACAATCTCTTCTCCTCCACTTCTCTATCCTGATGGGATTTTGGACATGCACGTAGCCCCAGTATGTTTTCCAAGCTTCTAGGGCTGGGATTTGAACTGGGCAGTTGGCTATGTGAGATCTGGCTCCTTTAACTACCAAGCCATGGGGCTAGCCCAAGAACTTGCATTTCTTTTTTTTTTAAATTACTTAATTTTATTTATTATTATTATTTTAATTTGCTGTAGAGTACACACACTCACCAGAGAGAGAGAAAGGGAAAGTGAGAAAGCAAGTTGCTAGGTCCAGGACCCAAACCCCGCTCGACCATGTAGGAACCCAGCACCCTAACCACCACAGCAATTGTTGGCCCAAGAATTTGCATTTCTCTTCTTTTTAAAAAAATTATTTAATTTAATTAATTTATTCATTCATTTTAATTTGACCAGAGAAAGACACAGAGAGAGTGAGAGAGAGCGAGAGAGGGAAAGTGAGAAAGCAAGGCAACAGGTCTGAGACTCGAACCGTCATCCATGTGGGAGTGGGCAGTGCCTTAACCACCATGCCACCTGCTGGTCCCCAAGAACTTGCGGGCCCCTAGGTTGGCAATTTTTAAAAGGGGACACAAACCCTGTGGTTTCAATTTGCCGGCATTAAAACTTTCTTTGAGAGGAGGACTGCTATTTAAACAAGGAGAATAGGAATTTGAGGTTAACGAGGAACAGTCCTCTGAAAATACTAAGCATAACATTAGAAATAATCTTTTTTTTGGAGAGGTTTTCGCTACAGGGCGCATGCGCTTGCCAGCCAGACAGAGAGAGACAGAGAGACAGAAAGCGAAAAATCACCCCCCAGGGGGGATGGTCATGCTGCAATCCCTTCTCCTCCATTCTCCTCTCGGGATCTCAGGCACGCACGCACACGCGCCCGGCTTGAGTTCTAAGCCACCGGGTCTGGGACGCGAACCACGGTCGACCACGTGGGAGTCCAGCGACATAGCCATTACGCTAACTGCTGGTCCCTGACATTAGAAATAATCTTATAATCTAACAAATATAAAACAGACCAAACTGGCACAGGCTGTATTTTCAAAAGGTTAGGTGCTAAAACCTGATTAGAACTCAATTATACCAGTTTCTATCCGTAGAAAGAGAATATGGGGAGAAACTCTTCCTAAGATTAATAGCAATCCAATGGCTGTGAACCGGTTTGATGTGCCCTAGGAATTACCCCTCTATTTGGGGTCAGCAGGTGGCATGGTGGTTAAGGAATTACCTTTCTATTCCTTGCTGTTGTGGATGGGCATTTTTGCCCAGAAATAACTATGTTTATGACTCACGCACAGTTTACTTTAGTGGCTTTGAAAACTAAGACCTGCTGTGAAAGACTAATTTAAAACCACAAACTTCTGTTTTTAATTCATACTTTAGCCTAGTCTAACCAACCACACCCTGAGCCCTGATCATTGTGTGTTTAATCACCTCAGAGCATTAGCCTTGCATTTCAAGGAACTCTGAGCTGCTTCTGGTGACAGCACTTCCCTTTCTTTCTTTTTTGAGAGGTTTTTGCTATAGGGCGTGTGGGCTTGCCAGAAAGAAAGACAGAGAGACAGAAAGCGAGAAATCACCCCCAGGGGGAGATGGCCACGCTGCAATCCCTTCTCCTCTATTCTCCTCTTAGGATCTTGGGCACGCATGCACATGTGCCCAGTGTGAGTTTAAGCCACCGGGTTTGGGACTCGAACTGCAGTCAACTACATGGGAGTTCAGCGATGTAGCCAATATGCCAACTGCTGGTCCCGACAGTATTTCCCTTTCAAGCATCTCTCAAAGAGAAAGGGAAGAAGGCAGAGGTCTTTTAGACTAAAAATGTAACAGTAAGCAACATAAGACCAGCATTTAAATTTACAGTAGTCCAGATTCAAACTAGGAGGCTAGCTACCTGAGCATGATAGTAAAGGCTCCAGGAAAAGACAGGATGAAACAAAGCTATATTGCAGTTCTTGCCCGGGATGCACTCCAAAGGGGGAGGAAACTGATATTAATCCCACAAATTTAGCACAAAGAGTCGTTTTCTACTTTCCCTAAGAGGAAGAAAGCACACCCATCTTCATCATTAGAGTAACTGCTACTGGGATTTCCTTGCCAATATAGCAGGATTTAAAGTGTAAACGATTTCCACCCGTTACCTGAAGTCTCACAACAACAATAAATGATTATGAAGTTTTAAATGGCATGGGAAGATGTTTATACCATAAAGTAGAGGAAAACAGATACAAGGCTGTAAATAGCCTCTACATTTTGTTTGTTTCTTTTTTTTGGAGAGGTTTTTGCTATAGGGCACATGTGCTCACCAGAAAGACAGAGACAGAGAGACAGAAAGCGAGAAATCACCCCCCACCCCGGGGGGCGAAGAGCCACACCGCAATCCCTTCTCTCCGTTTTCCTCTCAGGATCTTGGGCACGCACACGCACCCGGCATGAGTTTAAGCCACCGGGTCTGGGACTTGAACTGCAGTCGACTACACGGGAGCAACACAGCCATTACGCCAACTGCTGGTCCCCAAATCAACTCTCTTTAAAAAAAAGAAAAAAAAAAAAAAAAAAAAAACCCACAAGAATTTAGCCAGGCACGTGGTATTTGCTGTAATCCCAGCTACTTGGGAGGCTGAGACAGGAGTATCATGCATTCAAGACCGGTCTTGGCCACATAACTCCCACGTGGTCAACTGTAGTTCAAGTTCTGGACTCAGAGGCTTAAAACCCATGCCAGGCACACGTGTGTGCATGCCCAAGACCCCAAGAAGAGAATGGAGAACGGATTGTGGCACGGCCATTCCCACTGGGAGGTGATTTCTCACTTTCTCTCTCTTGTGCATACATGCACCCTATAGCAAAAATCTCTTAAAAGAAAAAAAAAAGAAAAGAGAAGAGAAACAGACAAGTTACCTTTAGCAAAGTTGTATTTACAGGGTTCAGACGGGAATTACATTCAACCTGAAAAAAAAAAAATGGAAGGAGAAAACAATTTTAGGTATTGCTAGAAACACATGAAATAACTTGGCATGAGAATGATCTTGCAAGATAAACAGTTCAATTTAGAGATGACTGAGCCAGCCAGAGAGATTACCGAAACACATGGTGGGACATACCTCTATGATGCGCTGCATATCTGACATTTCTGAGCAGATCTAAAAATGTGGCTAGTTTAATTTTCCAAATCTGTCAGAAGTAAGGTTTCTTTTTTTTTAATAGAGAGATTTTTGCCATAGGGCACGCATGCTCGCCGGAGAGACAGAGAGACAGAAAGTTAGAAATCACCCCCCAGGGGAGATGGCCACACTGCAATCCCTTCTTCTCCATTTTCCTCAGGATATTGGGCATGCATGTACACATGCACGGCGTGAATTTCAACCTGCCGGGTCCAGGACTTGAACCACAGTCAACTATGTGGAAGTCCAGCAACATAATCATTACACCATCTGCTGGCCCCTATAAAGTAAGGTCTTTAGAGGACTACATGCTTGTGACTAGAAGGTGGCATGGTGGTTAAGAGTACTGGACTCCCAGATGGACAACTGAGGTTTGGGTATCAGACCTGGTGGCTTGCTTTCTTGCTTTCCCTTCCCCTCTCTCTCTCATTCTGTCCTTCTCTGGTCAAACTGAAATAAGTAAATAAATAAAATAAAATAAATAATTCTTAAAGAAAAAATTGTTTTATTTAATTTTATTTACTCATTTATTTATTTTCATTTGACCAGACAAAGACAGACACACAGAGAGAAAGACAGTGAGAAAACAGGCCACCAGTCCAGGACTCGAACTGTGGTCGGCCATATGGGAGTGTCTAGCGCCTTAACCACCATGCTGCCTATTGGTCCAATAAAATAATTCTTTAAAAAGAGGGGCTGGCAGGTGGCGTGGTGGTTAAGGATGCTGGACTTCCACATGGCCAAGTGTAGTTAAAGTCTCGAACCTGGTGACTTGCTTTCTCACTTTCCCTCTCTCTCTCACTCTGTCCCTCTCTGGTCAAATTAAAATAAATAAATAAAGTTAAATGCATGCCTAGCCCTAATGGCTGAGCCCATGCACCATCCCTGACCTCACTTCCTTTCTCTTAGATTTTTGCTGTAGGGCACGTGTGCTTGCCAGAGAGAGGCAGTGAGACGTGAGAAATCAGCCCCCGGGAGGATGGTCACGCCATAATCCCTTCTCCTCCTGGGATTGTTGGGCATACACACACATACCCTGTGATTTTCAAGCAACCAGGTCAAGGACTTGAACTGTGGTGACTCCAGTGCTTTAACTACCACGCCACCTGCTGGCCCCCTACTAACTCTGTCCTGGACCCTGGATTAGTGTGCTTGTCATTCCTTATGCCCTGACTCTTTTCTGTCTCAGGTCTAAAGCTGAACTCCGATTTTCTCACAGTAGTGATCATGATTAAGAATTTACATAGGTGCCAGCCGGTGGTGTGGTGGTTGGGATGCTGGACTCCCACATGGCCAACTGCAGTCCGAGTCCTGGATCTGGTGGCTTGCTTTCTCACTTTTCTTCTCTCTGGTCAAATACAATAATAATAATAATTAATAATAATAAATGAAGTTAAATAAAATAATTTTTTGAGAGTTTTTTGCTATAGGGTGCGTGCACTCGCCAGACAGAGAGAGACAGAGAGAGAGAAAGCAAGAAATAACCCCCTGGGGGGGATGGCCACGCTGCAATCCCTTCTCCTCCATTCTCCTCTCGGGATCTTGATCAAGCACACACACGCACATGCCCGGCGTGAGTTTTAAGCCACTGGGTCTGGGATGCGGTCGACTACATGGGAGTCCAGCGACATAGCCATTACGCTAACCACTGGTCCCAATAAAATAATTCTTTAAAAAACAAGAATTTACATCCTGGGCATTTACATATCATTTATCTTGCACCCTTGTATTCACCACAGCAGGGACCTAAAAGAAAACGTTCTCTGGGCTCGGCAATGTTTTATGGCTAATCTGATCAACCGGATCTCTCCTTTCACACGTCTGCCAAGAGCACACATATATCTGTGTCTGTCTCACTCACGGAAGAAATGAGTAAACTTAAAAAGAACATCACAAGGCAGCTGATGAGTACAGAAGTATGAGTGGGATTTCTACAGGTAAAGTCAAGGGTAGGTACTTGGAGCCTTCCAGAGTTGGGGGAAACGTAAGCCAACTCCTGGGGATGTGAAGGGACGTGCAAGGTGTGTGTGGGTGCAGCAGCAGTGTGCTGGAAGGACCGCCCAAGCAGAGAGGGTGGCAGCAGGCCAGAGCGGACTGTGGACAGCAAGAAGCCACCGAAGTGTTTCTGAGGTGACAGGACTCGCTGCCTCGAGAGAGCGGTGCACCACACTGCAGACTGCAGAGGCAGCCAGCAGTCAGGGAGTTACTAAAATTACACAGGCAAGAACCACAATCCAGCTCAGCTTCTGCTCTGGGGATTACTGATGGGCCGGTATAAAAAGCTTCTTTTTATCCACCGGGATAATCCAGCAGATGGATTTTGACATGTCTACTCTCTCCTTCGCTCCCTGAGTAGAGAGACTCCACTTTATTTACCTTTACATTCTCCACATTGAGCAAAGAGAAGATGCTCAAAAACTGATGCTGAGCGAATACATGCGTAAGAACACCAGCAAGAGTGACTGGAACTAGCGGGGTCCTTCTTGCTCTTCCGTGCCTGGCTAGCTCTCTAATCCCTGCCGGTCTGCAGGGTACAAGGCTCTGTTGAGGACCTATTTTTGACTATGTATAGAAGAGCAGCTATTTCATGGAACGGATGGGGCTCCTGAAGTTCTTATCTCTAAACGCTTAGGATGTGGAAGTCAGAAAGAGGAAGAGACCTTATCTATATGGCCAAGTGAGAGACTAGAATAAAAGTAGAAATATTGTTTAAGGCCACACATTTTTTTTCAAGAGACAGCATCTCACTATGTGACCCAGGCTGGCCTTGAATGTATGATACTCCCGCCTCAGCCTTCCAGGTAGCTGGGATCACGGCAAACACTACCATGCCTGGCTAAATTCGTGCAATTTTTTTTTTTTCAAGAGAGTTTTTTTGTTACTGTTGTTATAGGGTGCATATGCTCACCAGAGAGATAAGAGAGACAGTGAGAAATCACCCACCAGCAGGGATGGCCATACCACAATCCCTTCTCCTCCATGCTCCTCTTGGGATTTTGGGCACACGTGCACATGTGACCAGTGTGAGTTTTAAGCCGCCGGGGCCAGGATTTGAACCACGGTTGACTACGTGGGAGTCCTGTAGTCCAGACCATCTGCTGGTCACAGCAGTTTTAAAAAGACAATGCTAGTTCCGAGGTTCATGAAAATATTTCACTAAGCATTACTTGAGAACTCTAATTAAGGGTATTTTCTAAAAACAATCCTCTTAAAGGTACTATTTTTTATTTTTAAAACTTTATTATTATCATTATTTTGATTTAATACGTTATAGGGCATGTGCACCCCCCAGAGAGAGAGAGTGGAAGGTAAAGGGAGAAAGCAAGCCACCAGACCTGGGACTCGAATCATGGTTGGCCATGTGGGAGTTCAGGACCTCCACCACCACGCCACCTGCTGGCCCTGACATCTATATATTTAGAAATGTTTCTGACAGTTTTGGAGCAGCAAAGACTATAAAACTCCTTCTTGAAATACTGGGATCATCAGTATAACCTTATTACCTGCGGGAAACTTCTTTTTGAGGGTGGGTATCGAGAGTTCATTTGCCTCTGTGCACACACATTGCCACGTATTTTACACCAGACACCGCATACTTTACAGGGCACTTCGGGGAGATGCAAATATATTCAACCTTCTCATCAATCACACCCTACCAACATCCCCCCTCCAAACATCGCCTCTGTCTACACCTCTATTTATTAGACTCCTTTTCCAAAAAGCCTCCCTCATTATTTTGCTCTATAGAGGGTAGCAGAACACTGCCAGAGAAAAGCAAGTACTTTCACACAGTTACGTTACACATGCTGTGAGATATAACAGGCCTATACAAAACTGCCAGCCTTTACTTGTAATCAAACAGTATGCAAATGGAAACAGTGAGATGCCCATTTTAACTCATCAAATTAACTACTACTATAAAACACGAACGGAACCACCAGTGCTGAACAGGGTGCAGTGAGACAGGCATTCTTCTATATTGCTGGTGGCAATACACACAATACACACCTATATCCTTTCTGACAAAATGTACTAAAAAACCTTCTAAAGGTTTATGATTTTCGACATTGATTTTACTTCCATTGCAAGAAAATAATCAAAGGTACATTAGAAGATTTTATAAGGATGTCTAACAGCAATATTACTTTTTAAAGAATTATTTCACTTAGTTATTATTATTATTATTCAATTTTGACTAGAGGGAGACAGACAAAGAAAGAGGGAGGGAAAGCAAGCTGCCAGGTTTGGGATTCAAACAGCAGTCAGTCATGTGGGAATCCAGAGCCTTAACCACCACGCCATCTGCTGGCCCCTGCATTATTGATGGTGTAAAATACAAAATAATCAACAGGAGAATAAAGTTAAATAAATAATGGTACATCTACCAGACTAAATATTATACAGACATACTGAGTTTATAATATGAAAAAAATGCTGTTAACATTGTTAAGTAATCAGACTCCCAAAGTTTACATATTTAATATAATAAGGCTGGGGGCCAGCAGGTGACAAGGTGGCCGAAGTACTGCACTTCCCACATGGCTGACCACGGTTCGCGTTCCAGACCCGGCAGCTTGCTTCCTCACTTTTCCTTTCTCTCTCTCTGTCTCTCACTGGTGAACACATGTGCCCCCTATAGCAATTTAAAAAATTATTTACTTAATTTTATTTATTATTATTATTATTTCAAAATTTGTTATAGAGCAAATTGCTCACCAGAAAGAGACACACATACAGAGAGAGAAAGAGAGAGAGAGAGAGGGAAAGTGAGAAAGCAAGCTGCCAGGTACAGGACTCAAACTATCGTTAGCCATGTGGACGTCCTAACCACTACACCACCTGCCAGCCCTAATAAATAATTTAAAAAAAAATTATTTTACTTAACTTTTTAATTTATTTTAATTTGACCAGAGAGAGAGACAAAGTGAGAAAGCAAGCCTCCAGGTCTGAGTAGGTCAGCGGCCATGTGAGAGTCTAGTGCCCTTAACCACCACACCACCTGCCGGCCTCCCAATAAGTAATTCTTTAAAAACAATGGGACCAGCAGGTGGAGTAATGGTTACATCACTGCACTCCCACATAGTTGACTGTGGTTCAAGTCCTGGACCCAGTGGTTTAAAACTCACGCTGGGGATGTGTGCATGTGTGTCCAAAATTCCGAGAGGAGAATAGAAGAGAAGGAATTCTGGTGTGGCCATCCCCCCTGGGGAGTGATATCTTGCTTTCTGTCTCTCTGTCCCTCCAGTGAGCATAGTGCCCTATAGCAAAAATCTAAAACAAAAACCCAAAAAACAAAGCACACACACACATATATAAATAAATAAAATCAAGTTTATGTTAAAGAAAATGTAAGTTTGTCTTTGGGTAAAGGATCATGATTTTTCCTTTTTCTTTTTTTCCCTTTTTTTTTGGGGGGGGATTTGCTATACAGCACGTGTGCTCGCCAGACAGAGAGAGACAGAGAGATAGAAAGCGAGAAATCACCCTTTTTTTTGGGGGGGGGAATTTGCTATAGAGCGCGTGTGCTCGCCAGACAGAGAGAGACAGAGAGATAGAAAGCGAGAAATCACCCCCCAGGGGGGATGGCCACGCCTCAATCCCTTATCCTCCATTCTCCTCTCGGGATCTTGGGCACGCACGCACATGCACCCGGTGTGAGTTTAAGCCACCGGGTCTGGGACTCGAACCGCAGTCGACTACGTGGGAGTCCAGCGACACAGCTATTACGCTAACTGCTGGTCCCATCCCTTTTTTAATAGATAGGGTCTCACTGTATTGTTTAGGCTGGCCGTGAACTCTCAGTCCTCCTGTCTTAGCCTCCTGAACAGCTGGGACTGTAGGCATACCTCGCTGTGCATAACTGTCGCTCTGTTTTTAATTTTTTTCCACATCTTCTATAAGAAACGTCTATCATTTCTCTCAGTGTGCTATGTGCCTGAGAAGGAGGTAGAGGAAAGCACCCAAGTTCTCGGCAGCCCTCCCTGCTAGATTTGCAGTGGCGATCTATTCCAGAGCAGAGGCTGAGGTTGCCAGAAATCTGACAATGGATATACGGTGTTTGGGGTACGACTTGCCACCAAGTGACTCTAACCACACACAGCAGTCAAGGGCAACACTGATCCCCTCAGATGAGGAAGCTGGTGACTGATGAGAACGACTGTTCCAAAAGTTAACCCTGAGATGTGCCGTCAGAAATAACAAATGCGTGTTTACCAACCGTTTCTGGCCTGTCGGCAGTGTGCCACACACATTTTATTACACCTTAATCTCATTCACCTTCACGGTCTCAGTGCCTACTTACCACAGCCTCAACTGCAGGTGAATTGTCCCCCACCACCAGAAGTGTAGAACACCTAGGTGCAGGCAAAACGAGAGGTGTCACGCAGCACACAGGCACAATGGTCAACTGAGTGCTGAACTCATTTATGAAAAACAAAGATCCGTGGCAATTCATTAGGGAATGTGAGGGACTTACTTTAACGTTTTTAATCTGTTATCATTTTGGCCCAGTACGGGTCTTTCAATCTCCAGGTCTCTGCGTCTAGAAAAGCAAAGCAGAAGCAATGTCGTTTTAGGCAGAATCATGACAACTCAGGCAATTTCCTGGTCATGAAAATCAAAATGTATCATGAAATGTGAAAGCTATTGTTCCTTCACAACCAGGGAGAAAGGGTGACCCCAGGCACTTTGTCACCTAGTACCCCCTTCCAGGGGCAGCCGGAGAGGTACAGAGCAGGACTGAGGCTCCTGGCTCTGCCCCAAGGCACTCTGGGATGTTAAGAGGAGACAACATCAAAGCACAACAGGGATGCTGCTACTGAATTCCTCAGGTCCTAATTCACTTCCAGCTACTGGATTGTCAGAGAAGTCATGATGTATTTTTCTGTTTTTCTATGTAGAAATGCGTCATGACTTTCCTGACAACCCAATAGTTCAGAGGAATTAAATTCCTCAAGAGAGGGAATGACATACTCTTTTTGGTAAGCACACGACTTACTCTGATTTCCACTAAAAATAGGAGGCTCTGCTATACAAAGAGAAGAAAGGGACAAGGTTCAAAACCCAGCTTTGTCCCTGACTGGCTGTGTGACTTTGAGTTTACAGCTGACCACTTCCTTGAATTTTCTCACGAGTTCAAAAAGCCAGAAAGAGCTAACATTTTTACCTTGGAGCAGTTGGTCTCAAGATAAAAATCAGTCCATCCCCACAATGCTTTCAGTGACTGGGGAAGATGTGACCATATTTTTGAAATATACAAACAGAAGAGCATTTACTCACGTCCATGTGTTATTTTTGTCTAAGTGACAAGATATCAGAAGAAAAACTAAATCAAGGCTTCTCTCCTTGTTTCCCTGTATGTATTCTCCTATGCTTCCCCAAAATACTTGTGGATTTTTATGTGCATACATGAAAGTATCTATGTCTCCAAACATCTTTTTTTTTTTTTTTTGGAGAGGTTTTCGCTATAGGGCGCGTGCGCTCGCCAGACAGACAGACAGAGACATAGAGACAGAAAGCGAGAAATCACCCCCCAGGGGGGATGGTCACGCCGCAATCCCTTCTCCTCCATTCTCCTCTCGGGAAATGCACATACCCTCTGACAATTAAAAAACAAAAACAAAATTTTAACAGTCAAGTGCAACAGATTTTTTTTTTCTTTTCCTTTCTTTTCTTTTTTTTGTGAGAGGTTTTTGCTATACGGCTTGTGCACTTGCCAGAAAGACAGAGAGAGACAGGGAGCGAGAAATCACCCCCCAGGGGGGATGGCCACGCCACAATCCCTTCTCCTTTCTCCTCTCGGGATCTTGGGCACGCATGCACATGTGCCCGGCGTCAGTTTAAAGGTACCGGTCTGGGACTCGAACTGTGGTCAACTACGTGGGAGTACAGTGACATAACCATTACATTAACTGCTGGTCCCAACAGATGGGGGTTATAAATAACAGAATTTGATTTAACTAGTGTGATTTAAAGGACAAGTAGTAGAAGGGGAAGTCTAGAGACAGCTTTTCAGGCAGAGGGAATAAAATAGAGGGAATATGGACTGTTTCAGGACCTTTAAAAAGGACAATATGGTGCCAGCAAGGAGAGTGGTAAAACACGAGGCTGGAGGTGACATCTTAATTATCAGGGAGACCAATTAGGAGATAGTACAGTATAGGACAGAGGTGATGGTAGTTCTTGAAACTTTTATTTTGATATTCTCTCCTTTTTTTTACCCCCCCTCAAAACTCTGTGGGAAGTCTAACAAATCTTTCTCACTTTTTTCCTTTCTTTCTTTTATTTATTTATTTTTTTTTGGGAGAGATGCTATAGGGCGCGTGCGCTCGCCAGACAGACAGACAGAGACATAGAGACAGAAAGCGAGAAATCACCCCCCAGGGGGGATGGTCACGCCGCAATCCCTTCTCCTCCATTCTCCTCTCGGGATCTTGGGCACGCACGCACACGCGCCCGGCATGAGATTTAAGCCACCGGGTCCGAGACGTGAACCGCGGTCGACTACATGGGAGTCCAGCGACACAGCCATGACGCTAACTGCTGGTTCCCGTGTCTCCAAACATCTTAAAACCACAACTGGGATTGAAACAAGCCTGAAACAGCTTTTGGTTCACTCCTTCTGGTAAGCTATTTTCACATCTGTCCTAAAGCTCTTCCTCTTCCACTATGGTGAAATGGTACAAAGGCAATCACATCGCACAACGAAGAAAGATGTTTACTTTCCTCTCGCCTGTCTCTTAAATGTCAATGATCTTTTCAGACCTGGTCTACATTTACGTGAAGGAATAAGAAACAACTGTACCCGTTATAGGAACCCAGGAAGAGCTGCAGGTTTTCCTGGTTGATATCTTGGGCAATATGCAGTCTGTAGGTCTGAATCAGGTCCAGGTTGGCCTGCAACTCCTCCTAAAGCAATGGGAAGAAGATACAGGGAAACTTCAGAACGCTCCAAAACAAGTGCATCTTGTTTGGTTTACATTTTCAATTCCCAAAGCCAAATCTCACTGCCCATGATGGTAACTCAAAGCAGAGCCTGGAGGCTATAGATGTACTGGGAGGCTGAATGGCTACAATCTTTTTTATTTGCATTAGACTGGTTCAGGCCATACTCTGTGTCAGATGATGGTACCAGAGAACCTTAACTATGGACTGAGCAACTTAGGTCATGTGATTATTCAGAACCCTAATTTACATCCGTGTGTGTGCATGTGCATGCATGTGTGTGTGTGTATTTTTTATGATGATTTAATTTTATTACTTACTATTTCTGAATTTGCTATAGGACACACACACACTCATTAGAGACAGAAAGAGAGAGGGAAAGTGAGAAATGAAGCACCAGGTCTGGGACTCGAACTGCAGGGGGCCATGTGGGAGTTTAGCACCTTAGCCACCATACCTCCTGCTAGCCCCAGTGTGTGTATTTTATGCTCTGCCATTTCTCATAAAGATAGAAATACTGGATGTAAAATGAATATAATAACCAGTGACCTGACAGAGCTGTTTTGTTTTGCCATAGGGTGTGTGTGCTCACCAGAGAGAAAAAGTAAGTAAGAAATCACCCCCTATGCGGGATGGCCACGCCACAGTTCCTTCTCCTCCATTCTCCTCTTGGGATCTTGGGCGTGCATGCACATGCACTCAGCGTGATTTTCAAGCTATTAGGGCCAGGACTCAAACTGCATAGTCAGCCATGTAGAATCCAGCTGACTTAATCTCTTCACCATTTGCAGGCCCCTTGATAGAGCTGGCTTTTGTTTTTTTGAGAGATTTTTACTATAGGGCACATGTACTTGCTGGAGACAGAGAGAGAGAGAGAGAAAGAGAGAAAGAGAGAGAGAGACAGAGACAGACAGACAGACAGAAAGCAAGAAATCACCCCCTGGAGGGATTGGTTGCCACAATCCCTTCTCCTCTATTTTTCTCTTGGGATTTTGGGCATGCACGCACACACACCTGGTGTGAGTTTTATGCTGCTGGGTCTGAGACTTGAATCGAGGTCAGCCATGTGGGAGTCTAGTGCCTTAACCACTATGCCACCTGGTAGTCCCATCAGTATGCAATTTTAAGCAGAGGGAACATTTTGCACTGGAGGAAAGAAATGTATCAGGGATAGTTAGAAGGTCAATTAATCCAAGGTCACCATCAAGCCTTGTAGAGGAAAAGAAAAAAAAATTGCATTTTTACCACCACATGGATGATATAAGCCAAGAACACTGTTGGAAACTGACCACAGTCTACCTGAAACTGAAAGGCACAGGACTCATGCTTAGAAAATTTGGTCCTGACCATATTCTCATCCTAAACATATTACAATAAAAAAAGTAACTGGGTCAGTCACATAGGCTAGTGAGTGGGTAAGGGTGCTAGATTCCACAGGGTTGAATCCTAGCCCTGGTGGCTTGAAAAACAAAACAAAACAAAACAAAACTGCAGGTACATGTGCTGTGAGTCCAACATCCCCACAGGAGGGAGAAACAGAGAAGAGACTTTGGTATGACCATGCCCCACCGTGGGGTTGCTTTCTCTCTCTCTGGCAAGCACATATACCCCCTGGCAGGTTTTTTTTTTTTTTTATGTAAACAAATGACAAGCAACAGTACAAATAACAATAATTAGAGAGGAAATCATCAAGCCAGGTTCCCCTTGAAGGTCGGGAGAGGAACCTGAGCAGCAAAGTTTGAGATAAAAAAGGGGAAGAAATGATAATGGTATACAAGGGGCCACACTGGGGCTCCGTGCTAATGCAACAACCTAGCTGCATTATATACACCGTCCCTGCCCCCCTCATGCAAAACACAAATTACCGTCTGCTCGACCTTCTGTTCTGGGCTTGCTTTTCACTTGTACAGATGGCTCCTTATTAGGACATATGGGGCCGACTCAGTTATTCTCTGTTACTCAGTTTCCCCACATTCTTGTTAGTACCGTCACTGTTTTTTGACTTTGCCCTCTTTTGTCAGATTTTTAAAAGGGGGGAGGATGGAATTCAGCAGGTGGCGTGGTTGTTAAGGATGCTGGATTCCCACATGGGTGACCGCAATTTAAGTCCCACAACTGGTGGCTTGCTTCCTCACTGGGTGCATGTGTGTGCGTGCCCAAGATCCTGAGAGAATGGAGGAGAAGGGACTGCAGCATGGCCATCCCCCCTGGGGGGTGATTTCTAGCTTTCTGTCTTTCAGTCTCTGTTTTTCTGGCAAGTGCATGCCCTTATAGCAAAAACTTCTCAAAAAAAAAAAAAAAAAAGAAAAGAAAAGAAAAAGACAACTAAAATTACATAAATAATTATTAAAAAAAGAAAATGGCAGACAGCATAAAACTAAAAGTTGGGAGACAAAGCAGAGAAAATCTATTAGAAGAGTAAAAGACTTATAGGTGAAAAATATGAGAAGATAGGAAATAAGAGGGCTAATCCAGGAGATCCAACGTCCAAAGAATAGGAGGTCAAGGGCAGAGAAAACAGGGTAGTAAGTAAATGACATGCAGCTACACACTGCTCAAAGCAGGGCTGTGTTCTGAGAAATGTGTCTTCAGGTGGTTTTATTTTACGAACGTCATAGAGCGTACTCACATAAACCCACATGATGGTAACACCTACCACACACGCAGGCTACAGGGTAGAGACTATTATAATCTCACGGGACCACGTACTTCTCATCTGTCATCGACTGAAATGTTGTATGTTGAAGACACACACACAATTTATTCCAGAGAAAATTTCAGAACTAAGAACATGAGTGTCCAAATTTTTCTTTAACAATTATTTTATTTAACTTTATTAAGAGAAAATTTCAGAACTAAGAACATAAGTGTCCAAATTTTTTTTAACAATTATTTTATTTAACTTTATTTATTTACTTAGACCAGACTGAGAGCGAGAGAGGGGAAAAGTGAGCACGCAAGCCGCCCGGTCCAGGACTCGAACTGCGATCAGCCACATGGGAGTCCAGTGCCTTAACCACCACATCACCTATCAGCCCCGAGTGTCCAGATTTTAAGAGCTCATTTAAACACCTGACACAATGGATGAAAATGGATTTACTAAGGCACATCATGACAGAGTTTAATCATATTTAGGACAAACAGAACATCCTACATACGTCTACACAAAAACCTGATTTCATACCATCAGTCAAGAACTAGAATAATGATACTAGAAATTGGAAGTCAAAAGAGTGATGCTTAGATAATTCTGAGGCAAAAAGATTTTCAAACTGCATTTAATACCCAAACTAGCACAGATGTTTAGAAGCAGAAGACATTAGACATGCATGACTACTAAGAGATATGCTTTGCTAAAATGAGGTAATAAACTATGAAGACAGGGGATCTAGGAAATATGAGGTCCAATAGAAAAGAGAACAGGATTGTCCTCAGGAAAATAATGAAGGGAAAACTAAGGATAAGAGCTGTGTGAGAGATGAAGAGAGTCACATGAAGGACTGAGCGATTCTCGACTGATCAAAGAAAAAGATATGACCGCGAGAGGCAGTAACACCCACAGCTTCAGTGGATGGCACCTGGACAGGTCCCTCACAGCGTACTGTCCAAGGGCTTACAGCAAGGGCACAACCAGCTGGAAGAGGAGGATGACAAAGGAACTCATACGCGACAGGGAAACCAGGGCGGCAGCTTACACATCTGGGTGATGCAGTTCAGCAGCATGGCGGTGAGTTTCTGGGTCAGAGAACTCTGAAGGGCTACTCCGAAGAGTTTTCATAAACATGTGAGTATTAGGGTTTTCTCACTAAAACTGTCTTATCAATGGCATGTATGTGAGGGTACGTTTTGTAGATGTGGCCAGCTTTGTGGGCTATGTAAAGCAGGTGGGCACTAAACAACTAAAATATGTTCTTTTTTTTTTTTTTTTTGGAGAGGTTTTTGCTATAGGGTGCATGCACTCGCCAGAAAGACAGAGAGAAACAGAGAGACAGAAAGTGAGAAATCACTCCCGGGGGGATGGCCACACCGCAATCCCTTCTCCATTCTCCTCTTGAGATCTTGGGTACACACGCATACGCGTCTGGCGTGAGTTTAAGCCACCAGGTCCAGGACTCAAATCGCAGTCGGCTACATGGGCGTTCAGCGACATAGCCATTATGCCAACTGCTGGTCCCTAAAATATGCATTTTTAGGCCTTCCCCCACCTTACAATGGGAGAAGGGAGAAGAAGAGAGATAAAGACAGGCATTCTTTTTCTTTTAAGTTTTTTTCAGCTTTCAGTTGACGCATTTTTTGTTTCCATTCATGACAGTGTGTGGCTTCTAGCCTCCCAAGTGGTGGTGCTATCTGTGTCACTGTGGCTGGGCCTGGGCTATTTTAAAAATAACTGGATGTGTCAAAATATAATTCTGGTGCTGGCAGGCTTTTGAGCTAATGAGCCTCAGCCTTTAGAGAAAAATAAACAACTAAGGGGCCAATACACAAAACCCGTCTTTGGTTCGTTTTCACTGGCTACCAAACCAGTCCAGACTACAGCAATCGAGAATGCTGCGGAAGGGAATTCTTCAGTAAATCAAAAATGACAGAATACACGATATGCTTAAAGATGTTGAGCAAGGAGATTTAGATAACTAGGGAGAGAGTTTAAAGTAAAGTCTGATAATACACAGAATAATAACCAACTAATGTAAACGAAACGAAAATAAAAGGACAAATAATGAGCTTAAGAGAACACAAATGCGGAACCAGCAGTTAGCGTAATGGCTATGTCACTGAACTCCCATGTAGTCTACCGTGGTTCGAGTCCCGGGCCCGGTGGCTTAAATTCATGCTGGGCGTGTATGTGTGCATGCCCAGGATCCCGAGAGGAGAATGGAGGAGAAGGGATTGCAGCGTGGCCATTGCTGGAGAGTGATTTCTCGCTTTCTGTCTCTCTCTTTCTGGCGAGTGCACACACCTTATAGCAAAAGCCTCTCAAAAAAAAAAAAAAAAAAAGAGAACACAAATGTGAGCAGAAAAAGAAAAATAGCCATGGCCCAGTTGTGAATGTATGCTATGAATAGCACCTACAGTGTTTACGGCATAATGCTGGAATTTGATCTAACACAAATAGTGTTAAAGCTGGGGGAATGGGGTGGTGGCAAATACACCTGTACATCCTGACGGCAGGGAGCATGTGATACGTATGTGCGGCAGGAGTGGTGAAAGAGAGAGGGGCAAAGAGAAAAACCATTTTCCATAATGGAAAGCCAACAGATAATACCTGCAACTGAAAAATCAACAAGTAGAAATACATGCATATTTAGAGAGGGAGGCAGAGAATTGAGTGCATATATCCAAAAGACATGTGCAAAAATGTTCATTGCAGCTAAAATCTAAATAGTAAAAGAAAAAACCCACACACAAAACTAAAAACCACCCCAATGTTCATTTACAGGAAAGTAAATAAACTGTAGTGTATTAATACAGTGGACTGTTGCTACAGAGTAATAGAAAAGAATAAACTGTGGATATATGGAATGACATGGATCAATCTCAAAGACAATACGTTGAGTACAAGAACCCTGAAACAAAATGTAGACTCTCCATTTGCATGGAGCTCAAGGAAAGGCAAAAATAGTCTCTAGGAAGTAATAGAACACTATGGTAAATACCTTATTTGAGGCAGGCGATTAGGAGTAGGAAAGAACAGAAGTGCACATTGTGGGGATGATAGAAATCTGTCTCTCGATTTGGGGAGTGGTTACACAAAAAGATACATAGGTCACTGAGATGCACTCATGATTTCTGCACTATACTATCTGTACGTTATACCTCAACTAAAGAAAGCACTATGGGGCCAGCAGTTGGTGTGGTGGTTAAAGTGCTGGACTCTCACATGGCTGACCACAGTTTGAGTTCCAGACCTGGTGGCTTACTTTCTCACTCTCCTTCTCTCTGTCCCTCTCTGGAAAGCACACATGCCCTATAGCAAATTAAATAAATAAATAAAAATGAATAAATAATTCTTTAAAACAAAAAGAGAAAAGAGAACTGAGATTCTCCTGTCCCCAACCTAATTTTTATCCATGTGATCGCTGTCACTTCCTCTGTAGACTTTACCTTCCTCACCAGTAAAACACGGGGAATGAATAAGATAATCTCTAAGGTTCTTCTAGCACTAATACTTCACAGTTTCTTTCTTTTAAGAATTACTTATTTAATTTTATTTATTCATTCATTCATTTTTTAACTTGACCAGAGAGAGCGAGAGAGAGAGAGAGAGAGAAAGTGAGAAAGCAAGCCACCAGGTCCAGAACCTGAACCGTGGTCGATCACATGGGAGCATTCAGTGCTTTAACCACCACACCACCTGCTGGTCCCCATTTCACAGCTTCTTTCTTTCTTTCTTTTAAATTTCTATTTCTGTCAAGTCTTTCCCAGACCTTCTTATGGCTCTAAAGATGTTTTGTGAGGCACGTGCTCTTGTCAAACATTAACAGATGGCATGCTACTTAGAGGGAAAAGGTGGGAGAGACACTATCTTCTCTTATCTCTCAAAGGCCAGGAGCCATGTGGCACTGAGTTGATGCCTTCCACATTTAGACTAGCGTCTGCAGGGCTGCACGCATGAAGTGTTACCTGCTAGATCAAGTAAATTCTAAGGTACCTTTTCTTTCCTGAGGTAAAATAAGGCATTGCATGCAAACCAATAAACACAATTCTCTTGCCTGAAAAAGGCACTTACCTGTCCAAAGTGATGAGCCAAAATAATGTCCACAATATTGGTTGTCAAGCCTGAGAGCTAAAAAGAAAGACTCTATGTCAAGAGGGTAAAAGCATGTATAAAACTTGACCAATCTATCCACTTCAGATAAATGCACTTTATTGAACATATGATAACCCTCAAGAAACACACAAAACACCCACAATTCAGTATCATACATTTGATCAGAAAGCAATTTAAAAAAAAAAAACATGAGAAAAAGAAACAGGTGAGATAAAAACTAAAAGTCTCCTTCTCAGGGTAATAACAGAGTTCAGTATCGTACATTTGATCAGAAAGCAATTTTTTAAAAAAAACATGAGAAAAAGAAACAGGTGAGATAAAAACTAAAAGTCTCCTTCTCAGGGTAATAACAGAGCCTGCTTGAAACTGGGAACTGGAAGAAATGTTGGCCACTCCTTTGGAAACTCAAAACCTTGGGGCTCGTAGGGGGCGTGGTGGTTAAGGGTGCTGGACTTTCACATGACTGACTGTAGCCTGAGTCCTGGACCCGACAGCTTGTTTTCTCACTTTCTCTCTCCCTCACCCTCCATCCCTTGCGGGTCAAAATTAAAAATAAATAAAGTTAAATAAAAATAATTCTTAAACAACAAAACCAAAAACAAAATCTTGAACTCATGGTTATGTGCTGCTTTATTTCTGACCATATTTCTGCATTTATACCAGATTCATGGATGATAACCATCTACTTACAACCACTCCAAAGCCATCCGAGACATAAAAAACATTTTTTTTTTCTTCCAGTATTTTTCTGTCTTCATTTTAAGGAGTGGGAGGAAATGGTTATGTTTACAGAATGTTCTTGCATTTTGAACATTTTTCTCCTAATTCTTCCCATTTCAGAAATGATGCATCTCATGGTCTAATAAATGCAGCAATCTGCATAAATAGATTGTTAGTCTATTTTGAGAAAAATTTCTAACTTGGATTATGTTGCTGATTCCCCATAAGCCGCCTGCTTGTTTTTTACACTGAATTCCCACAGCTAACTTTGATCAGAGGCGAAGTGCAGAGCTGGGAGTGGGGATGGAGAAGAGGAGGTGAGGGAGACATGGACCTGGTGGAGCAGGATCGCATACTCCTATGAAGATTAAGGAAGAATGAAGTCCTGAAATCCATTCTCAGGAGTATGAGAGGTGCACAGGTTAGAAATGAAAGGTAATTAGAATTAGTAACCAATCTCACTTCACATCTAATACCCTTAAGTATTCATAAAGGCTAACAAGGCTGAAGTTTTACCAAAACTGTATTAGGCTACCACATTATTGAGTGCTCAGGTGTTACTGTACCCATATATTAAATAGGAATTAGAACAACTTTTAAATATGTAAGGCCATGAGAAGAATTTTTGTAGCACCTGGCGATGACATTGTTAGGACATTTCATCCAGAACTAGAGAATACCTCAATTCTCCAAAATGCAGATGTGGGAAAGGATGGATGAAACATTTGTAATACTACCAGCCAGAGATGTAACTACTAGTAACATCATTTTCCCATGCATATATGTATTTAACAGAACTGGGATCATATCATATAATTCTGTTTTTCACTTAACATGAGAATTTTATTTCCTTAGATAACCAAATTGCATAATCCTTTGATTATATACTTTTCCATTATATGGTTCTATCACAACTTTGTCACGCTGAATTATGGCACTTAGGCCCTAATTCTTGCCTTATAAACAATGCTTTAATGAGTATCATAGCTCTGCAACTTACTAGCTACGGGACCTTAAGCAAATTCATAATTTCCCTGTGAGATAAAAGTCATACTACTTCACTGGAATATCCTGAGAATGAAAAGCTTACATATAAAATATTTAAGGACAGTGTCTAGTATACAGTAAGCACTATACAGGTACACAATTCTTTAGACCTTCTTCTTCTTTTAAAAGAATATTTGTATCTTAGGTTTACTTTTACTTTCATAAGAGTTGCAGGCACGTGAAAGGTATCCTTGACAGAGTCTCATCACGCTGCACCCCCCTCCCCCGCCCTCCAGCCACAGGACCATGGATGCACCCTGTACACTGCTCGAGTGTTTCAGAGGTCAGAGTTCTTCATTTCCCAGACTGCAAACATCAATAATCCACATATCTTCAGAGCAGCCGCACAGAGAAGCTGCTTGGGTTCACTCAAGATAGTGATTCATTCATTCATTTCATCCCTTAAGACAGTGAAAATGTGGGAACCAGCAGTCAGCGTAATGGCTATGTTGCTGGACGCCCACGTAGTCGACCGTGGTTCGTGTCCCGAACCCGGTGGCTTAGAACTCACGCCGGGCGCATGTGCGTGTGTGCCCAAGATCCCGAGAGGAGAATGGAGAAGGGACTGCGGCGTGGCCATCCCCTCTAGGGGGGTGATTTCTCGCTTTCTGTCTCTGTCTCTCTCTGCCTGTCTGGCGAGTGCATGCGCCCTATAGCGAAAACCTCTCCAAAAAAAAAAAAAAAAAAAAAAGTGAAAATGCAAGCTACAGGCTAAGAGAAATGACCTAAGTTATACGTACCCAACAAAGGGCTTGTATGCAGAATAAGTTTTTTATTTTTATTTATTTGTTTGTTTATTAGAGAGATTTTTGCTATAGGGCGTGTGAGTTCACTGGAGAGACAGACAAAAAGTGAGAAATCTCCCCCAGGGGCATGGCCATGCTGCAGTCCCTTCTCTTCCATTCTCCTTTCAGAATTTGGGGCATACACACACATGCGCCCAGCCAAGAGCTTCAAAGCGACTGAGTCTGAGACTCGAACCATGGTTGGCCAGGTGGGAGTTCAGTGATGTAACCATTACGCCATCTGCTGGTCCCAGAATAAACTTTTTAAAAGGGAAAGGGGGTAGAAAGACTCGAACAGGCATCTCCTAAGAGGATATTCAAGAAAAGGTGCTCAAAATCACTGCCGCTTAAGGACATAAAAGCTAAAATGCAGTATTAATATTTTTATTGGAGAGTTTTTTTTTTTTTTTTTGCTATAGAGCATGTGCGCCCGCCAGACAGACAGAGACAGAGACAGAGAGACAGAAAGAGAGAAATCACCCCCCAGGGGGGATGGTCATGCCCCGCAACCCCTCCTCCTCCATTCTCCTCTCGGGATCTTGGGCACACACGCACACGCACCTGGCGTGAATTTTTTAAGCCACTGGGTCCAGGACTTGAACTGCAGTTGACTACATGGGAGTCCAGCGACATAGCCATTACGCTAACTGCTGGCCCCAAAATGCAGTATTATTTACCTACAGGCATAGCTTAAAATGAAAAAGACAGTACAATTAAAAATTCTTATTTTAATAACTATAGCTATTGGGGCTGGCAGGTGGCATGGTGGTTAAGGACACTGGACTCCCACGTGGCCACCTGCAGTTCGAGTCCCAGACCTGGTGGCTTGCTTCCTCACTACCCCGCCCCCCAGCTCTGTCCCTCTCTGGTTGAAATTAAAAATGAATGAATGAATAAGTAAGTAAAGTTAAATTTAAAAAATAATAGCAACTATAGTTATTTTGATCATGGTCACAAACTAACATTACAAATAAAACTGCTCATCTTTTACAAAAACAAGAAGGGCTTTCAAATGTCAGTGAGGATGTGGAACAACTGAAAGTTTGATCTGTTGCTGTAGTAAACTGGTCAAACACTTCGGAAAACTGTCTGGCAGTATCTACTACCACTAAACACACATGTGCCCTTTGACCCAGCAATTTCACTAAGTATAAACCCAAAAGTAACACATGTGTATGTCTATGAAAATGTGTAAAAGAATGTGCGTAGAAGCCGGGGGCCAGCAGATGGCATAATGGTTACATGGCTGGACTCGCACATGGATGACTGTGATTCAAGTCCACTGACTGCAGACCTGGAGGCTTGGAACTCACATGGGGTGTGTGTGTGTATATGCCCCAAATCCCGAGAATGGAGGAGAAGGGATTGTGGTATGGCCATCCCTTGCAGGGGGGGGGGGTGCGGGATTTCTCGCTTTCTTTTTGCCTCTCTAGCGAGTTCATAGGCCCTATAGCAAAATTCTCTCTTAAAAAAAAAAAAAAGATAGGAACCAGCAGTTAGCGTAATGGCTATGTCGCTGGACTACCACGTAGTCGACCATGGTTTGAGTCCCAGACTCGGTGGCTTAAACTCACACCAGGCACGTGTATGTGCGTGCCCAAGATCCTGAGAGGATAATGGAGGAGAAGGGCCTGTGGCGTGGCTATCATGATTTCTTGCTTTCTGTCTCTCTGTTTCTCTGGTGAGCACATGTACCCTATAGCAAAAACCTCTCCAAAAAAAAAGAAAAGATAAAAAAATGTGCACCGAAGCTTTATCCATAACAAGTAACACACGACTCATTTTATACAGTCCTACAATAGATTATGAAACAGCAATGAGACAGATCCACTGCTACACACAACGTGGATGAGTCTCACACACACAAAGACATCAGAAGAATACATATTTTATTATTCCAATTACATGAAGTTTAAGAACAGATTAATTTATGGTGACAAGTCAGAATAAGGTGATTTCTGGGAAGGAGGAAGTATTAATTTGGCAAAAGCATAAGGGAACCCTCTAGAGAGTTGGAAATATTCTATCCATTGATTAAGTGGTGATTACATAAGTAAACATTTATCAAACTGTATACATAAAACTTTTTTGCCCTTTACCGTATATGTAACTTCATGAAATATTGAAAAGATATGCTGTTTTGAGAAGGGACCAAGAAATGAGCTAATGGATCCTTTGTTTGGTACTTACTTTGGAAGCTGCCCAGTCAATCCAGCCTTTAGCACATGGGTCAACATTGATGAGAACAAGGCCTTCCACAAGGTCTGGATGATTGAGCTGAAAGACGAGACAAAGACAACAGAATGTCAAGTTCCACTTCCACTGTTTCTTCTAAAGCCACTGGAACACAGTTAGTGAATTCTGATTATGCCTTAATGCCTCATAGCTGACTGCAAGCAAGACTGCTGAAGGTGCGAGGAAGAATATGTGGAAAGTGGCCCCTGAAAGATAAGTTAGCATCTGGAAACCTGTTTCTTCAATTGCTCTCAAATGATCTTGTCTTAGAATCTACAGGGAAGACAAGGTTTTATTTCTACAGTGGAGGAGAACACTTAGTGTGTCCACAAGTTGTTTTAACTCATGGTGGATCTTCTCTGCTTGCAACTACTGGCACAGCAGGCTGCTCCACTTAGTTAGGCTGTTTTATCCTCATTTTCTTCCCAACAGAGGTTTTTGTTTGTTTGTTTTTATTTTACAAGATTTTTGCCTTAGGGTATATGAGCTTGCTGAAGAGAGAGAGAGACAGAGACAGTAAGAAATCATCCCCCAGGGGATGGCCACACTTTAATCCCTTTCCCCCATTCTTCTGGGCATGAACTGACAAGCGCCTGATGTGAATTTCAAGCCGCCAGGGTCCAGAACTAAAACCGAGGTCAGCCATGTGGAAGTCCAGCAATGTAACCACT